ATTGTAACTGAACAGCTCATGTGTAGAGTAACTGTTCTGTTCCAGACCTTTTTGATGTAGAACATGGCCACCAGTGTGACAGTTCCTATCAGAGGCAGCAGAGGGCAGTAGTAGATGCCCACCCAGGACACAGTCTGACTGTACACCAGATCCAGCACATTGACAGGGATCAAGAATAGTTGTTTATCCGACAACCGGGCCAGCAAGGATGTGGGGTACTTCTCCTGCACCAGCCTGTCAAACAGAGGAAAGATACAAGCTTTCTTAGCCCGGAGGGTGGATAATCATCCCAGGCCTGATATGAACAATCTCTGACAGTCAGAGAGAAACAGAGACTGATGAGCAAACCCACTTCCTGGGGTAGTCAAACAGGAAGGTGTTGCAGAAGGTGGCGAGGAAATTGAAAATAGACAGCTTGTACATCTCTCTGCCAAAGTGGTTCTCCCAGCACGGTGGCTGCAAAGAAACACACAAATGAAACACTAAGTAAAACACACACAATCATGTAGATAGCATTACTTTAATAATTCCTCATTACAGGTCCGTCAGGAGGACTTTGAAAATCTCTCAGCTTACTTGTTTAGGCCCTTTTGCAGGGTTGAAGAGGAAAAATAAGTAGATCCCCAGTGAGGCCAGCCTCAAGAAGATGCTCCTGCAGAGAAGACAGTGTGAATCTATGCAGGAGCGTGTGTCTGTGTATACAACAGATTTTCATGTGTTTGTATCTCAGCGCATACCTCACAAGCGTGGTGTTCACCTGTGTGGTGATAGAGTAATCTTCAAAAGGGGAGATCTTATGGAAGAAGATGGGAAGCAGCAGGTTGACAAAGGTGATGGTGATGGGAGGAAGATACTGGAGGAACAGACTGACCAACCAGTGGTACCCACTCTGAGAAACACACACGAATCAGACAATCCAGGACATGCAGCGACAGAACCAGACGTATTGAGTGTTAAGGTCTTACATCTTTCAGTGACATCTCTGTAGCAAAGAAGATGAGGTAGAAGGCTCCACCCAGCAGAGACAGAATGACCATGTTCAAGAAGAACCTGAGCAGGTAGAGACGTATCCTTTGACTAAAAGTCCTCTGAGCCTCTCGCAGTGAGAAACTCTGCTCCTCCAGGAAGAGCTGAGGACACACAGTCACAGAGACTTTTATAAACCAAAGGACTGTTTCAACACAGCGGCACAAGACACAACTAAACATCACAAATGCATTAAAGAAGAATAATATCATATTTACTGTACACCTTACCTTTAGATCATTTAATTATAATTTTTTTATGACTGTTTTTATGTTATGGGATTTACCATATGAATAAAGTCATTATTATTATTATTATAGCCACTTATTCATACATTTAAACTAAACATATGGGGACACACTAAAAGTCCCAATCTGAAATAATAATCACTTGCATTTGACATCAGTGATAATCATCTTAGTTACAAAATTGTGAATCATTATTTTAAGTTGTGTATGTTTATCCAGATTTGATTTTTATTTATGAAGATTAAGACTCTACTGCCATTTTACTTGATAGCCTTCTTTAAAAACAACACAGCTAGTGGATAAAGCAGCCCTTCATTTATACAACTCCTCCCTTTATGAATGTTATGAAGTTCAGATTTTGTTGAAACTGCTTTAGTGAATTGTGAAGGCTGAACTTTGTGTTGAAAAGTATTGACTTGTACTGAGCGGTGTTTCAGATATATTACGGCCTGGGTAGATATGATTGATATATATATATATATATATATATATATATAGTATCTGATTAGTAGATGAATTAGTACACTATATGAAAAGAAGACGCGTCTGTCCAGGCACCTTGAGATCGTTCTTGATGAAGCTGTGTTTGAGAGTCGCTGCAGCAGGGTCCAGGATGGTGAAGTCCCAGCCACAGAAGACCTTATAGCTAACATTCATAGTGTAGCGCCTCCCGAGCATCCACCTGTGCTTGAAGCCAACTGCTGTTCTGTTAGAGAGATTTGCAGGGCAACACATCAAACACTTGCTTGTAGGATGCAAGGAAAATAACAACTGGAGGTTTTTCTTTGCCGTGTTATCACAGATGACTGACCTGCGGACCACCATGATGAGACTGAGAAAGAGGATGGTGAGGATCCCAGCAAAGTAAAGCAGGGGCGTGTTCAAGCAAGGGAAATTCAGGGACCCACGAGTATAAAAACCAAAGAAGACAGGAGAACGATCCACAAAGCCCTGTACAGAGGAGAGGAGAAAGATGAATAGGGCACACACACAAAGTCACAGCCATTTATATATATACTGTATGCATATATATAAATATATATTTATTTATACACAAACACAAATGCACACAAACACTCACAAACAAACACACACCCAAAAACAGCCACATACACACACGAACAAACGCACACAGCTCTTACCGATCCCTGGAAGAAATCTAAAACGGAATCATTGCCGCCGAACTTCAAAGGTTCTGTAAAACACAAACAATCATTAGTGTATTTTTGTGAGTCTGTATCGTGTTGTGTTACATGTGCTGTGACCTGACATTACATGTGACTCACCACTGCTGTTGCCCCTGCCATAAAACGATGAAGGCCCCAGAATAAAACCCGAGATAAGAGCACAATGAAGCACGTTCAAGTAAATCAAGTATCTGAGGAAAACAAAGTAGGCCTTCACGCCGACTCCAAACCTGCCTGGGAACACATCAACACTCAGATTCAGGAATTTAATTATGCAATAACATTAAAGTGCATGGTGAGATGATTCATTAAATTACAACACAGTAGCTACTGAGAGGTGTGATACAAGCCCATAGACATAGACCTTCCTCACCTTCAATGAAGCTAAGAGTTTGCTGCCATGGCAACAGGCCAGTCAGAGCTCCTCCCATCTGCGCCCACACCCTCTTCCTGTTGATGCTCTGGCTCCGCCTCCAGGACTCCCAAAAACCAATGTTGCTGATTTGCATCTTCCTCCTGACCCTAATCAACAGCATAGACATTATATTCCATGAATTCCCCCACATCTACATCATGGAGCACCTAACTAATCGAAACAAAACATCAGATTAGAGGGTTTGAACCATTGTTTGAAAATATTCGGGTTTCTACTGCAATTTTTTGACTCAAAATATAGGACATTGTAGAGGTGTGAAAGACATGTGTTCACCAGTGTAATCACAGATGCTTTATGGGAATTGTAGTGTTTTTTAAGCTAGATCCTCATTCACATTTTTGCCTTTTGATCATCTTCATCTGTTTTCCAAATCATTAAAATTAACTTATTAGTCAGTGGAATGCCCCTTTAATTCCTCAATAGAAATATGATGACAGAGTGTGCTTATGAGTCTGCTTTTGGAAAAATAAATAAAATAAAATTTAACTAAATTGATATGACATTTCCTTTTGTATGTGAATAGCTCTACTACTATTTCTATATTTAGGCTTTATTTACTTAAATACAATGATATGAGAGGGAATTATAACTGAATTGGCTTCAAGTAAACTGGCCACCATTCACTTACATATGCAGCCTTTCAATTGAATTCAAAAAAGTGTTTTATTGATGCAGAGACCAGAAAGATTGAAAACAATTATTCAAAGTGATGCAGCATGACAGAATATTGTAATGAATTAATTGACAAGGTACTCTTGTTTCATTTAACCCAATGAAAGCATATGCAGTAAGTGAATGTGACCACCATTTCTATTTGAATGTCAAAGTAAGATTGAGAAGAAGCAGAGGGGAGGAGTGCATAATAAGATCTCCTACCTGGCTCCTCTCTTTGCCTTAATACACATAGGCAGGTTCCGAAGCGGGTGCATTGACTCCTTGTCTCTGGATCCTTTGGACGGGGGGCCATTGCTGGGCTTCTCCCCCGGCTCTGTGCTACCCTGAGCCTCGGAGGCTTCCAAAATATCCTGTATGCTCGACCCAGGTCGGCAAGCCTGGATGCTGGGCAGCTGATCAAATATCTCTGTCTGGTAGTACTCACAGGAGTCCAGCGACAGCGTTGAGTGAGTGCTCTCATCTGTGGTGAGAAGGACAGAAGTGATTTTCTGACTTAAATAAATAGTGTCTGTAGGGACACACTCATACATGTGTGTTTTCACTGAGCTCAGCTTTTTTACAAGTTGTTTTTATTGTTTTGTTATTGAAATGTTGGAAAATGGCAGTAAAAGTTTAAGATGTGTTGTTTTGTCAAATCCTCACATTAGATCAAATAGAAATCTGCATCTAGTGAATTTAAATGTGTTTCCATTCTACATAGTGCCATAGTTCTAGATTAATTGATTGATAGATGTTTCAGTTGCTGCATGTTTGATTTACCAATTTAAAATATACTCAACCAGTGGATACCATACCATATGTCGCCTTGCTTTCCTTTTTGGTTTTATGTTCCCTTTATGTATTGTGTGTCTTGTACATAAGTGTTGCATGGGCACCCTGGGGTGCAGGACGTCAAAACAAAAGTAGACAAAGTTGTGGACCAGTGTATTCTTTTTGATGATTGATGCGTCACCAAAACATCTGAGCACAATTAAAACACTAGAATATAAATATCCTTATTTGCATGAATAAGACCTGAGCAGGGCTGTTGCTATTTAGCGCACTTGCTTTACAGCATTATTTGTGCCTCTTGTCCTTTCTTAGTGGAAGCTGCCTGCAATATAAAACATCAGCTGGTCTCCTCAAAGTAAATAAAAACATAGCATGCCACATTGTTTGCATGTAATTTTAGATGTGACTGTGTTAGTCATACATATATATATATATATATATTGTGTAACTCTGTGTAATCCTACTCATTCACAAATAAAAGAACGGTGTTGAGCAAGATGTCCTCACTCACACAAACACACTTACCGATGATCAATTACAGATGGATTATACATAAAGACGTTACAAATTATAAATGAAGAGGTAAGTTTATAATATTTTCTTTTACCTGATAAGAGTCTCATAAAGTTGACAGAACGGTGCTCCTCCATTTTTGTCCCTGAACTTCCTCTTTAACAGAAAACACCCACTTTTTCTCACTTCAACTCAACACACATCTCCACCCAACTTATGATTCTAAAATCACTTCCGCAATTTGCACCAAAATATCCTGCTCTCTGCCCTCGCACATCAAACGTCTCACTAATGTGAAAACCCCTTAACCTGAACAGCTGACATGGAGTCTGTGTTATTCCTTGAGCCCTGTTGGTGTGGCTCACTTTGTGGCTGATGTTAGATCTGTCCACACATTGGCTAACTGAGACTGGCTGAATTTGACAGTTCACAGGAAATCATGTGACAGGATGTCGACACATGTGCCCCACTGGTGGCTGAAAATATCACAAGTCATTTTGCAACATGATAAGAAGTATCCACAAATGCAAATGATAAATTATATATGACTGAGAAAATGTTGAGGTCCATGTTTCAGTAAGTGAGGTTGAGGTTTGGATCATGACTGGATCCACTCAGCATCAGATGACTGTAAATGTCCAATGATGCAGCATTGGCAGAGCTATGATTTTTTTCTATTTTTAAGTAAACTCACACATCGTTGAATATATTTTGAAAATTGTTCCTTGTACACATTATGTACATCAAAAAAAAGTTTAAGTGTGATATTCATTGTTCGTGAGTTTATTTACAAAAACAAATACAGTTTACATTGTACAGCATTTCATCATTGGGAAACTGCGTCTGAATCGAATGTACAGGATGATGACGGAGAGAGGCTCTTTCCACACACTTTTTTTAACCACAAAGACATTTGAGGTTTCTGGTCAGAACACTTTACAAAGAGACATGAGTGTGCATGGGTGTCATTTCTTATGAAGAACTTGGTTTCAATTCTACTCAGACTTTGTAGCAGGGAGATTGTTCCATTCAGGCCAAGCACACGCCACTGAACATGTAGTAATACATAAACATTTCAAATCTGCCACTTCAGTTAAATCTCAAGGTAAAAATACATCACTACAAATACAAATACTGCATTCAGACCTTTACTTACTGTACAACTGCAGTGTTATTAGCAGAAAATGTACTTAAAGTATCAACAACCCAGCATGAAAGATACTAGGACGCTGAAACTGAGGCAGTGAAATAGAACTAATGTTTGTTTTGTTAGTTTGTTTGCAGGAGTAAGCTCAAACTACAGGACAGATTACCATGTTACTTGATGAAAGGATGTGATACTGTATGTGTCAGGTAAGAACCCATTAAATATTGATACAAATCCAGTCCAGGAAATGAGTCCAGGATTTATATTCTTCAACATTGTAAGATGTGGGGCACTTTTTTTGACATTCTCATTGATTTCTCAGGGAACAACCCATGGATCTTGATGACAAAATTGGCATGTGTGGGGAACTGATATTCATTATTGTCTGTGTGTGTGTGTGTGTGTGTGTGTGTGTGTGTGTGTGTGGTATTTTGTGCAGATCAACATTAAAATCTGGATTCAACGAATTTAAAAGTGGTCTCATGAGGGAACCGTTTGGCCTCGGAGGAGGCACACACTGTACTGAGTGACATTCTAGTTCATACGCATTCTTTTCCTTCGGTGACATAAAGATGAGTGCAAAGGGCCTTATAGTGTGACCACGCTCTCCATCCGTTTACTTGAAGCTGGTCACTCGTAGATGCATCTATAGATTACATAGAGACAGCCTGGGTGTGGTCAGGTGTGTGCATGTGAGTCACTTGAGGGCCCAGGTACTAAGGTAGTACTGTTTGTATCCACTGCTGGGGCTGTGGCTGCTGTCCCCACTGGGATGTGTTACTCCACTTGTGGGTCTAGTTAAGTTTCTCAGCTGTCTGCGTGGACAAGAGAAGACACTAGCAGATAATGTAACGCACAGTGAACGGTGAGAGGTCTAAGAAGTACGTTAGACTGGTCCTGCATTGTTTCAGTAGAAGAACAAGTTTGAAGGACTTGAATAGGACTGTGCCATGTACCAAATCTGTACGGGTGTCAAATAAACGCCACCTCAGTATCACTATGTGATGCTGCAGGTGCTAATCGTTCCTTTATTCAAGAGTGCAGCTAACAGTTATATTTTAGGAACATTTATATATTCTAACAGTGACTGTATCATGTGACCGAAACCTCAGCTGTTGTCGTGGCTGCTTGGTCTTTACCGTACACCCCTCTGAGAAAGTGGTTCGTCCCGCGGTCTCCGGCGGAGCGTGTATTGTGACAAAGTGAGAGAGAAGAGGATCAACTGAGCTGGTGAGTGAGCGTCGTGTACCTGTGTGTGTCCAACATGTCTGACTTTTCCTCTGGGTTTACAACTCATCACACCAACTGTCCGCTCCGAGGGCGACGTGTGTCAGCTCGAGAGACAGGGGGACACGTCTGAAGTCCGCCGCCGCCTGTCAATGAGCTCCAGAGAAATGTTTTCAAGAGTTGGACCGTGTCAGTGTGTTGTTTGTCTCTGAGTCCACAGTTTGTCTTTGTGTCGGTTGAGCGAGCTTTGTTTAATAAGTACAGACTGTGAAGACCAGCCCAAATGTCCTCACAACGTCAATCATTCCTGGGAGCGATAAAGTTCTGTCTGTCTGTCTTTCTGTCTGTCTGTCTTTCTATCTGTATGTCTGTCTGTCTTTCTATCTGTATGTCTGTCTGTCTGTCTTTCTATCTGTATGTCTCTCTGTCTGTCTGTCTGTTTTTCTATCTGTCTGTCTCTCTGTCTGTCTGTCTTTCTATCTGTCTGTCTCTCTGTCTGTCTGTCTCTCTATCTTTCATGTCCTCACATTGATGGTTTTGAACCAAAATGAACCCTCATAACTATAGAAAGACATGCACATGCACACACATAAACACATACATAAATGTGTGTATATGTATGTGCGTGTGCATGTCTTTTCTTTGTATGTATGTTTACATGTTTATATATGTGTGTGTTTGTTTTATATATAAATATATATGTGTGTGTGTGAGTATGTATGTAAGTATGTATTTGTGTGTGTACAAACACACAAATACATACTTACATACATGTGTGTTTATTTTGGGCCCATCTATCTATATAACTTTCTAAATACATAGATATAAAGAGAGATAGATGTTTCTGTGTCATAGCACACATGATTCCAGTGTCTGTGATGTTGGCAGCAGCAAACCTGTAATTTTATGTGCTGTTTTTCTGAATGAAGGCAGAGTGGCATGCAGTGTGATGGCCCTCAGTAACACTGTAGTTGTGTACGTGTATACATAATAGAAACAGCAATTGGAAGCAGCTCTCCTCTTGCTTGGTTTCATTCCTCCTGTTAGAAGTGCTCTATTTTGATCCATTTTCTCTGCCTGCTTTTTTCTTCCTTTGCACTAAAGTACTGACTTCCAGGGTTTCATCTCTCTTCCTCCCCTCTCTGCCATACCAACATTTCCCAGGGATTCAACACTGATGCTTATCTGGGGTACTGAAATACTCGCTCCGGTGCCGTGTGTGTTTACTGTGGCATTGTGCCTCCCTGATCCCTCTGTTGGCTTTTGTCAGCACAGTGGGGACTGTTTGCCTTTCAGTAGTTGAGAGCTGTCAGGGGTGGACAGATTCTTGCACACCCGTATTCTTTGACCTCATATCTACTGATAACCACCTTCTCCTTCATCCCTTTTGTCAACACTGCCTCACTCCACCTGTGATGTTAGCCAGTGTTATCTTTGTGACTTCAATATACTAATCCTCTAGACATCATGTAGCTCTACTCTGATTTTGTCCCAAACGTCATATTTGCTCTTTTGAAGCAAAAATGTTTTCCTCAATGAACTTTAAGTGACCCAACTTAAACCCACACAGAAACGCTCTATTCTCTTATCCCCTGCTTTGTTTCCCAGCATATTTAATTTGGCAGTCACGCAGCTCAACTCTGACCCCTGGTCCAGCTATGTTGAGCATTTGTCCCCCTCCCACAATCTCATCCCCTGCCTGTACAGTCTCTGAGGACTGCCTCAGTTTTAGTTATCTAATATTCAGACATCAAGATAAGACACAAAGCACGGCTGAACACTCACTGTCATAAAGAGAAGGACTTGCGACGCCAGGTGTGTGCAGTGTTGCGTTAACATTTTGCACAAAAAGATATTGACTTAAAGGATTAAATGGAAAAGGAAACAGACACTAAAGGAAATTGTAATTCGACCTTTGAATCTCCGGGTGATGAGTAAAGAAGAAGCAGATGTGTGCAGTAGATTGTTCAGTATAAGAAGGCCTGAAAATATTGAGCTCAAGAGAAGGATTTAAGGTTCATGTTGGCAGAATGACATATTTAAGTTATGTCGTCAGCGTGTTGGCTGATGTTCAGAGCTGCGCCCTGCTTTAAGTATGCTGCTGATATCATATTCACTCAGGACCAGAACCAGAAGGACCTCCACCCTGAGTAAAAAATCCAGGTCTCCAGTGTCTAAAACACACACACACTGTGATGCGTGTATAATCCTTACAATATGCTCTCATTGTTGCTATTCCGTCAGCAAACTCTGCACACTCACAGTAAACAGAATCATCCAGTTTGTACCTGTGATGTAGCGGATGTCTTTATCTTGGGTTTCTTGCAGTGACTATGAGTGGATACTGTGTGAAACTGGTGTCCTAGAAAAACTGAGCTTGTTAGTGGTGAAGGAACAGATCAGTTTAAAGGGGATTTTTCTGATTAACCCAGAATGAGACAAACTCTTTCATATGCAGTTTGAAGGTTAGTTGACTGTTGAACATTTAGTTTAGCTGTTTGATCACTGGGTTTCTGTGGGATCGATAAGCTGCAGCTCTGCTTAGAAGTACGTATACAGGGGAAACACCCGCAGCACTGGAGGTACAAGGCTTTAAACTACAAAGATGGTTCTTGTTATCCTTTTATCAACAAGTTCAACACATGTTTTCAATTCGACGAGATACATTGGCACTGACGTTTTCTGTTGTGGGAGCATGCAAACAGGAAGTGCTTACAGCATTCATTGAAACTTAAGCAGATATTAAAACATACTCTGTGGTTAGACCAGTTCTCCATCTCTGGAAACATTTTAATTTCATTTTTCAGGCTTTTTAGAGAAGCTGCTTCTTGATCCAATAGATATCCAGTTCAGATAATTTAGACTAATCCAGTGTTACTGAACAGTAAATGGTCATAATTCACTACCGTTGTTTATTGTCTCTCTAAATAATTGCTTATGCTAAAACACTAATAGAAGTTTATGAAGTTTATTTTTTAGTTATTTTATTTTATTGGAAAAGTGCTGATTGATCAACAGAGAAAATACTGTAGATGAGCCAGAGTTAGCTGTATAGGCTCATTTTCATCTATTGTCCCCAGCCTGTTCTTATTAGGCTTGAAAGGTTAGTGTCATATTATATCCTCTCATCCACACCTCTTACCTATCAAGTATATAGATATAAGTATAAAGATCATGTGGGGTTTTTTTGTTGCAGCTTTGATTATCCACCGTCAAGACTGTGTTGGACAAATTTTATTAAGAGGTTTTATTAGTCACTAATGGATATCTGGATTCAATTGTCCTGAATGCCAAACACTCATCTAATTCCTTGTTTTATGGCTTTTGTGATTATGTTTTAAAACCTCTCGCTTTGATGAAAGTTTTATATGCAGTTGATGCCCATAATTGAGGGCAGATTTTCAGAGCAAAATTAATTAAAAACGCACACAAACACAAGAAGCAGCACGCTTCCTCGAAATCTTGCATATGACACAGCGGTTGTCACAATGCATTGCTCTGTCTCTGTCTATGAATATTCATCTCACTGGTGACACTGCACCCTCTGACTCTGACCACAGTCCCCATCACAAGGAGTAACGCAGTGGATGGATTCTGGAAAAAATTACGTAATTCCTCATGACACGACAACTTCCTGACAGAAATGGTCACATCTCATTTTCAGTAAAGGCCACTAAATGTTAACTGCATGAAAAAGATGCAAAAAGTGTTAAACAGAGCTTTTCTTTCTTTATGTGAGGGTTGGTGGTAATTATACATTTTTATCCTTACTAAAATAAATGTTGCATAGTGTAAACAAGACCTCAGGCTGGAATTGCCACAGTCCATTGTCATGTATACAATCCTCTAGGATTGTTTCCTCAAAATGCCGTGGAGGACAAGCAGTGACATGACCAGTGCATTCAAATTCCAAAGAACGTCAGCTTGGCATGTTTTTTTTCCTTCTAACTCGCTCATTACCCTGACTTTTCCCCGCCCCTTTCTCAGGTAGAGAAAACACCATGGTGGGAGTGCCGCTCTGAGCAGGTGAGGGTGTGATCCCTCAGCAATTCGAAACTGACGTCCGCACAGATCACGACTGTCTGGGAGGGGGAAGAAGGAAAAAGAAGAATGGCTCGAAATGTTAACTTCGACCTGAACCACCCTCTCATGGAAGCTGGACTGGAGTAAGTGTCAAAGTTCGCATCTACCCTGTTTTTCCAGTTTTTTCTTAGTTTGGCTGTTGTCAGCTGTCGGCTTACCTCGCACTGCTTGTGAAGGCGGAGAGAAGAGCAGACAGCGTGAACAGACACTGAACGAGAGGGCAGATCAGAATGGAAACTTTCCCAAAGGCTTCCATGTGTTTTCTATTCTTATCAAAGTGACCAACTTCTAACTACCACACCATTGTCTCCATAGAAAAGACGCACATGTTTATGTGTGTTTGCAGTTGGCTCCTGTGTGAGTGAATGTTTCCACTTGAAAACAGGAGTGATTGGCTTCTGTGTGTAACTTCCTGTGCTATCTTTGTAAAAGTGCTAAGTCAAAAGGAACTGGATTTACTGTGTTTTTCTCTGCTTGCTGTAAGACAGAAACAGTCGGAGCAGTTGGCTTTGGTTTGTAGATAACACAGGAAGAAGATCACACTGAAGGCAATCTTTGAAAAGCTTTACTGTTCACAATTGAATGAAAATGACTTCATACACTCCTCTTGGATTGTTTGGTTGCTGTTTCCTCCCATGAGATAATTTGCACCATTGTGTTTGATCTGTAGTATATCTGTAGTGTTGTCAGTGACCCACGATAAACAGAGCACCGTGGATCTGTATTGAAGTTCCTCTTTGAATCTAGCTGAGCCCCTATCCTCCTATTTCCTGTCATGGCAACTGTCTTCATGTCCGTTTGTCCTCCCGTCAGGAGTCCAGTTGATGAGGAAGGTGTTCATGACTTGTTCAACCAGCTGATAGCAGAGCAGAGCCAGAATGGAGGAATGTCTGATGCTTACGAGCTCCAGCAGCTGCAGAGACAACTGGACGACGAGGGTCGAGGTACTGTGCGTTTTTAAAAGCGCACACAGATGTGTATGTGCATGTCTGCGTGTGAAGCATGTCAAGGGCTGGGTTTATATGAGAACTGGGGGTTATGGGATTCTAATGTGAATAAAACATAAGATGGGTGGGTTTCCACAGCTGGTCTCATTTTGGATCCCGGTCAGCAATGTACTCTGATTCATTCCTCCGACATTAAGAAATCTGACAAATTTCTATCTCTCCCTATACTCGTTCTTAAAAAAACAAAACAAACATTTTATATACTATCTCATCTCATTTCCAGGATGAAGGTACAGTTTGTGAACACAAGGCTAAGAGGGATCAGAGAGGATTCACATTCCATGGATTTGATACTGGATTTCAATTTGCTGAAATGCTGTCAAACCTGGTCCCTACATAGGAAAAGATATTTGGGAAATTGTTTATAGTCGTATTGTGATTTGGTTTAAATGTCCCCTTTTGCTCTCTAAATCCACACAATATTTAAGTACTAAATGTTTTGAGTAAAATAAAAAGTAAATCCTTCTCTGTATTATATTAGTTCACCATGGTCATATTTTTGTATCTAAATATCACCTGAAACAGCCTGTGGTCATTCTCAATAAAAACGGGGTCAATCATATAGTCAGATTTTAAACATGTTGTTAGTTTTTTCAGCAGTAGCAATAATTGTCATGTGTTTCAGTTTTTTTCTTATTTTCTTTTGATTCCACAGATACTGTGTCCCACCTGTCCAGCCCTGGACATGATCACGGGGAAAGGAGGCCAAGAGGAAGAGAGGTTGAATGGGCAGATGATGAAAGGATAGACCCCGGCGAACGCTGGTCCTCCGCCACCTTGAAGATCCTGTCGTCCATGCCCAGTCGCACCATCGGTGGGTCCTGCCGAAATTAAAAGATTATGCAGAGAGAGGATAAACAAAACCACTGTGATTTCTGTAGCAGAGGTTATACTTCATGTCCTGCCTCCTTCATACTCTTCTCAGGCGCCACCCTTGCCTAAATGTTCTGGAACATCTGCCCGGTGTTGTGAACAAGTCTGACCCAGACAATCTCCCGCTACATTAACACACATGCTTAACATGTGAAAGGCAAACCCCGGAAAATGTCCGGACCAACTTTTTTGACCTTTTCTGGAGTTCAAATCGCTTTCAATATCTCAAGTTCACTGATAGTTTGAGAACATTTTTACCAGCTCAGATGTGTTGAAACTTATTCAAAGCTCAGCAAAAAGTGGCTGCTGGGAAGAAGGCTGTTATAGTTCCTGAAAAATTAACATATTTGCCACACAAAGTTTCATTGCATTAAGGCTGTTTGTGACTAGATAATTGAAAGTCATTTTTATAGAACTTTATTTAACCACCACAGTAACTTACTATGTCTCAGCCTCAGTGGAACATTAACATTCAACCCTGACCTGTTGAGCTGTAAAAACAGACTTGTTTCTGTCCAGCAGTTTCATGGGGAAGACGTTTGTGTGTGACCTTCCTGTCAGTATCTGTGGCGTGTCAGGTGCTCTATGGCTGATTTCTTCAGCTGTGCCACATGATATATTTGCTGGTTTGACTTTCAACATCAGAAACATAAGAAGGAGAGATAACTGTTTATTTTTCAGTGCAACCCGTCTGTTCACAGCCACATAAAATCATTTAAGTCTACATGGTAGTGTGCTCCCTGGTCAAAATGATTTTCCTGTTTAAACTTTCTGCGTCACTCTGAACAACTTTGTTGCATCTCTGTTCTTAAGGCTACGTTTTTATTTGAAAACATTTTCAAATTAAAATTGGACACAGAAGCATTTGGCACTGTTTCAGTTTTAATCCCTATTCCAAAATGCCCCAGAACAGAGCCTGACAAAACAATGAAGTATACATTGTGACAGCAATGACCCAATTAGCAAATGGTTGTGAGTGTTCACATCATTCTTTCAAAACATTTCCGCCTCTGCTTGTCCAGACTAGAAAACTGCTCCGGAGTGTTCAAACTAAAAAGGAGCATTTCTATACTTCTCTATTTGAGTACCTCTAGATTTCCAGAGTCGGGAGGACACCAGGCGTACCTGTAGCAGAGTTGATGCAATTGCAAACAAATTCCTAGTTGGATGTAGCAATTGCTGATGCAGATCTGGCATATTTTTGTCATGATGGGCTCATTACATTCCAAACTGTGGAGAGACTAGAGATAGAGATGACGAATCCTGAAGCAATGTTTGCTGAACTCAGTTACACTTTAAGTCTTTGTTTTTAACAAGCGGCAAAACTATTCCCAATTGCTGATCCCATCTCTGACCCATCTGACCCCTTCTCCTTGTCAGGCCGCAGCAGGGGAGCCATCATTTCTCAGTATTACAACAGGACCATGCAGCTGCGGAGACGCAAGCAGAGCCGACCTTCCATCCGGGACTTTTCACGCTCTGCCAGGCCGAGCATACGAGGCTACGGCATGGAGGACAGCACTGACGCAGAGGGCGCAGGAGGTGAGGAGCTTCACCGGCTACAATTAAATTGTTCAGACGTAAACACATTTACTGCATTTGTGGGTCACTTCACTTATCACACTCTCTATGTCTGTATGTTTTCCAGTGACTAAAAGGGAACGTTTGGTGAACAACCTGCAGAACCTTTCAGTTAACGACAGAGTGCGGATGCTCCGAGCGATGCCGCTCAGTGTGGCTGAGAAGAGTGAACTCAGGTTCAAAGGCTTTTTGTTCTCATTATTCATATTTAGATTAAATCTGTTTTTTTAATCTATCCGTCTAAATCCCTCTTTTTCTCACCTCTGTCTACAGGAGGTTAGCATTACAAAAGGAGAGACGCACATTTTCTGAAAGTCAAATCCCCTGTTGTAGTCGACTCAAATATTACATCATAATAGTAAGTTATACCACCAGCAACGTTTGTCTGTGTTCTACTTCCTGTATTTATTTTGCCACACCTTCTTGGATCAAGCAAGTTTACTAAAGAGTTGTTCCTTTTAGTGACAGTTGAAACATTCAAATCACCCTCTGCCTCTTCTACTTCTGTTTTTCTTCCTTTTGTTTGTCCCTGAAAAAGATCTAATACAGGAAATCAATGATAGACAGTGGCTTATGGCTGAATTAACCTAGTTAATGTTAGTGAGGCAACACATGGTCACACGTATGCAAACGGAAGTGAATATCAAGGGTCAAAGTTCAAATAAGTGGAACTCCACATCAAGCCTGGCTGTGATGTAACTTCTGTTTTATTTACCTTCTCGCTCACAAAGATTATGTGATGATAATGATGATACATTCACATATGTGTGAGCTGGCCCTAATTCAGGGAAGCGGGGGCAGATGCAGGGCCGAGGCCAAAGGCACTGACCCCAGCTGAAATCTGATTTCCTGGATGTGCCGCTGGTCTGTCAGCAGTCTTTTTTTAAAATAAACTAATCACTTACTAACAATAAATGTGACAAATTGTTAAGGTTTTTTATTTATAAGCTGTTTTGAAGAACACAGTGTGCTTAAAATGTTTCAATCATATGGGATTTAGCTCAAAGCTATAGAGCTAACTGTAAACAAGGAATGATTTAAATGTTCACATTACTGAATCAGGGAATATTTAGGATGTTGGACATATAATCAGCTCTTCTGTGTAAACTGTGGCCCAGATGAGTTTCACTGGAGCGAGATGAAATGATAGAACATTGCTAAACAACAACAACAAAATACCATAACAGTAGTATAGGGTGTGTGACTCTCACAGTAAACCTCTGTCCAGTAGCCAGAGTCATGCTGCTGCCCACTTCATTTGATTGTAGAGATTAACTGACCGTTGGCTGGTTGATGACCGGGCTTTTCTCTTTATTCCCAGAGGGAACGCTGTGCTTATTTCATTATGTGTTCTCAGTGTTATATGTGATAATCACGTCAATTGTCTATACATACAATCATAATAGTTTCTGTATTGTAAAACATTGTTGAAGAAATGTATACTTACACTGTGCTCAAATGGTAGATACACAGGAACACAGACGGCAGATCTAAAAGCTGTAAATGAGTGTAGGGGGGTATTTCCTGTAGGTGTTGTTATCAAGCAAGTGTAATCTCTTTGTTGCCCACACAAATACCTCAGACTCACAAAAGCTTTACAACAAATACGTGTACACTGGAATTCTGCTGCTAAACTTTGTGAGGCATTTTTTACCAAACACTTCTTTTTCTTCTTCACTAAATATATATATATACACATACATATATTCCTATTGTCATTAGAATTTGTATTATTATACCTAAATCAATACCGTTTGTATTCTTTAAATGATTGTCTGTTGTTTATGATAGCACCTGTATACAATCTGTTGTACTCTTGTGCAAATACAAGTACACTATATATATATAGATATATATCTATATATATATACCATTTCCTCCACTGTTTTCCCACTCTGTCTCTCCCCAGGCTATGAGACAGGGCTGGTACAGCTGGCTATCCTTCCTGCACTCCCTCCAGCCATGGCATGTGGCGCTCAAGAGAGTGAGCGGGCGCTTTGGCACAGGAGTTCTCTCATTCTTCCTGTTCCTCAAGACCCTACTCTTCTTCAACCTCTTCCTGTTCCTATTGATGGGTGTGTTCATGGTGCTGCCTCAGGCAGTGCATCCTCCAGTGCTACTGTCTGGCAGTCGCTCCTTCTCTGGACTGGAGCTCCTCACTGGGGCAGTAAGTAGTGTGCTGTGGTGACATATAGTTTCAAAACCTCTCTCATGCTACAAAGCCCCAGACATTCTTGATGTCACAGAGAACTAGGGCCATATGAATGGAAACAATGACAACATCAAATGAAAAGAAGATTAAAGAAGAAAAAGAAAAGATTTCATTCCTTGGAGGAGAAGGTGGAAAACAATTTAATTATTTTATATATAAGATAACGTTTTTTAGTTATACAAAGCAGAGCATTTTATATATCCTAAAACATGTCTGGAGGAGATCTTTGGATCTAACAATGTCACTTAGGTAAATAATCATATTCATTTGATAATTGTATGTATATTATATTTTCTGTCCATGTCATTTTGTCTCAGGGCTATTTCTCAGACACAGTGATGTACTATGGGTACTACTGTAACTACACCATGCGTGAACACTGCAGGGATGATGGTGGAGGGCAGAATATCTCTGTTGTGTCCAATGGCACCTCGCTGAACTGTGTGAAGCATCTGTCCTACAACATGCCTCTTGCATACTTCTTCACAATAGTAGTGGCCTTCTTCATCACATGTATCATCCTTGTGTACAGGTAAGAGAAGCTTAAACTCTTGAACACAAACTACATCAATATTATACGGTATCAAAAATCTGTTGCATCCTTTTAATGTGCAACTTCCCAACAGCATGTCCAAGTCGTTTGGTCAGAGCTTCAGAATTGACAAATCTCACAGTATCCTGGCTGTGAAGGTTTTCTGCTCCTGGGACTTTAAGGTCATCAAGAAAACATCCGTCAAACTCATGTCGGAGAATATCTGCACCCAGCTCAAGGTACATGGTACACACACACACACACACACACAAAACTCTGAATCTTCTCATTATGATGACTGTGTCAGCACCTAGTGTCGGCCACGCCACCGTCAAGCATTAACAAAATGCATAAGTGTGATTCTAACATTGGGTCAATGCTCAAAATGGTTCCCACAGAGATATAGGTACAAGCACACATCCTTCCCTCACTTTGTTTTCCTCTCTGTCACATGATTTACAGGAATGTGATAATCTAAAGCATTCTTCTCTGTCTTTGTCCCTCCTTCAAAATATCCTTATCCTCTCTCTCCCCTTCCTTTTCTCTCTCTCCAGGAGCTGTTAGCAGAGGTGAACCATAAACATGTCAAGAACACTTTGTGCCAGAAGCTGTGTAGACTGATGGTTCACTGTCTGGCATGGGCTATCTGCATAGCAAGCACCACTGCCTGTGTGCTCGGCATTTACTTCTTCTCTGATTTCATGCACCAGGTGAGGCACTTTCACCAGTCTGTCACTTGGTAACTAAACATCAACTCACTGGGAATAAAAAAAGGATTTTCTGTCAGTAACAGTGCATTGTTGCTCCAAGAGAAGAACTCCCTGCTGTTACTTTTCACCATCACTGCTCCTCATTTATAATTCTGTGTATTCTGTTGCCAATCGTCTGACTGCACAGTCGACAATCTGCCTGCACAGTCGACAATCTGCCTGCTGTTTACACTGGCACACACATGCCCAGTTTACATGACTGGTCACATGATATACATTTTCAGTGGCACATTCATCTTCATTGATCTCAAATCATTTTGCTTCTGTTTCTGGACTGAACGCAGTCCTGGTCTGTTAAAATGGAGATGCACTGTTGTATGACTGATACAAAGCTAAATCGCTCTTGTGGACGGAGGTTGTTTTTCTGTTGACGTAGACTAAGACAGCTGTGCAGTAAATTGCCTCTTTAACGAAAAACCTCAGTATCCCTGTCTGCTTGTTGGTGTGGTTTCTAGCAGCAAAACAACAAAAAGAAGTGGACAGATTACCATGAAACTTGGTGTGAGGATGTGGGTCACAGAAGAACCCGTTAAATTTGGTTTGCAGAGCAATTCATGAATCTGGATGGAAAAAAATCAGGCATATTTAGAGATTGAAATCAAGGGGACTGTTGGACCTCGGTGGTGGTAAGATCTCCATTGGGGCTGTTTATATTTCATATCTGAAAGTTCCTGCTGCCTCCTAGTGGCGGTATCAAAAACCTGCTGGCCCATAAAAGGAGCAGCTGGTAGATGAGGGAACAAGCTGTAGAAACAGTAAAGAAAAAACATCATCTAAGTACACACTGAGATTTCGCTGCATTTTCTGTTTTTGTCTCTTTTCCCCACAGGACCGCCAGGAAAGAGCTCGTAGTCCAATCACCAGCAAGAACACGTTGTTGAATGAGGCCAGCCTGTTGGCTCTGCCCGTGGTGGTGTCGCTCATCAACCTGCTGCTGCCCGGCTTGTTCAACCTCGCAGCCTGGATGGAGGACTATCAATCACCTTCTGTGTGCACATATGTCGCCATCGGCAGGTACAAGCAACGAAACTGTATGGAAAAGCACAGAGTTAAATTTGAGACGCAAGAAAATGCAGAGCTGTTAAGCAGTTTTCAGACATGAAAATGTCTGAACTATTGGGTCTGGACTCTCTCTGGAGTTTACCTTTCATAAAAGAATGCAGCAGGAGATTCAAAGCTCAGTTCACAACAGGGAAATCTTGGCGCAGGAGGAAGGACATAACGTATAAATTCCACTGTGGAATTTCTACACCAGCATCTTATCATCAAAAGCTCTAGAATCTTGTCTTTCCAAGTTGACATCTTCTACCTGTATGACACCTCTTTTTCATCATGAGATATTTGTATTCTTTTTATTTTCTTAGTTTTCTCCTTTGGTTTTAAAAATGCCATGTCCACTTGTTTGCAGTGAATTACTCATAATGTCAGGAGATTATTTGGAGTTCAGTGCATGTTTGAGATGTCATTGTTAAAATGTATTTTGCTGGCTGTGTTTTTTAGGAACTTGATGTTAAAAGTGAGTATTCTTGGCGTCCTCTGTTACCACTGGCTGGGTCGGGTGGCCACTGACTCTCAAAATGATCATAAGGTAATATTAATGATTAGACACCATTCTCACTTTCACACCTTTATGCTCACAGCTGCATCAAGGAATATTTTTCTAATCTTACTTGTTTGAGTTTCTGTTTCAGTGTGATACTTAATGACTGATTCTGTGCTCTGTCTTGACACATCAGTGCTGGGAGAGTTTTGTTGGCCAGGAGCTTTATCGCTTCCTGCTGATGGACTTCATCTTCACTCTGCTGGACACGTTGTTAGGAGAGTTTATGTGGAGGTGGGTCAATGCATCAATTAGCTCTTTGAATATATTTCTCTTCCTCATACTAAGTTTTTTCTTATTAGAGCCTTCACGTTATGGAATTTACTGCTCACTATACTCTGACTTGAATTTATAGCTTCTTTAATATCCCAACTTTAAACTTTTTTTGTTTTGTCTATCTATTTTATCCTTCTACTTTTCTCTGCTCATGTTACTTGGAGTGACTCTCTGCTTGTCTGGTGTTATTTCCACTTTATAACATTGTTAAGAAACGTGCTATATAGATAAAGTTTTTTATCACAGTTTAAATTTTTTTTTTTTTTTATTCAATAACCTATGGGACAGTAAAACTTGCACTTCAAATTTCTCTGTAGTTATTTCTCTGTTGTTTTCTATCGTTTCTTAACTGTTCTGTGTTAATCCATTTTATGTCTCCTCCTGATCTCTGCAGGTTGTTTTCTACGAAGGTGCTGAACAGAAGGAGGAAACCAGTTTTTGATATCGCCAGGAATGTCCTTGAACTCATCTATGGACAGACTTTAGCCTGGTGCGAAACTTACAGTTAAGATGTTCTCACAGCAGAGCTGAGTGAATCAAATTGTTTCTGAGTTACAACGATGAACATTGTGTTTTTCAGGTTGGGAGTTCTCTTCACTCCTCTCCTGCCTGCAGTGCAGATTCTCAAACTCCTGCTGCTCTTCTACATTAAAAAGGTATTTCAACTAAAAGTTTTCAATTAAAAAGCACAAAATAAAAACAGACATTTTCCAAAAGATAAGAAAGGTTTGGATTGTTAAGTTTTATAACAGTCATTTTTTTAAATGTTGTGGTTACAATTATTATCTGTAGTAAAGTGCCGAAGATGAACCCAACATTTATAACCTCTAAATGACCTAATGTTGCTAATGTCTGTTATTTAATTAATGCTTTCCCCAATGCATGCTTTCACAAACAGCCTGATGTTGTCGTTGTTTTCCCACAGAGCAGTGTGATGATGAACTGTCAGGCTCCCAGGAAACCGTATAGAGTCAGCCAGATGACCACCATCTTCATCACCCTCCTCTGCTTCCCCTCCTTCCTCGGTGCCTCTGTGTGTGTCACATACACCATGTGGAGGTACCTGCACTGTTTGTCTTTGTCAAAAAGACACGACATTCATTTATATTAAGTCACTGTGGACTAGATCGTAATCACTTAAACATTTATCGCACCCCTTCATCTAAATTTTAGTTCATGTGAAAACAGGTCTGCTCACTCATCTCAGTGAAGCCACAGTGTTGAGTTATTAGGGACACTAACCTTAAATGCAGTTCAGCTCCACTTTTACCATAATTCAATATAATTGAATCTGACATGGCACTGTGTTGTCCAACCAAACTCCAGATCTAGATTATCTTGTTACATTAACATTGTATTGATACCATTGTTACTGTTCCTTAAGCTGTTTTCAGACATGAACTGTCAGGACAATTGGGTCCACATATTTTCCAGTTTGCCTTTCACACATGAAGAACACAGCAGGAGATTGTGGGGATCAGATGTGTTCAGAACAACAGGAAAATAACCAGAACATTCAGACGAGGGGTGTCATCTGGGAGGAGCATAGAGGAGGGAGGACATGACGTAGAAATTCACTGGGAATTTTTCTGACATTGCGTTTCATTTCATCCTGCTGCTTTCTCGCATGAGCCCACTACCTCGGACATTCTTTAGATGATTACTTGGGGTGGGCAATAAAATTCTCGGAAAATGTCTGGAGCAACTTACTCAGACATTTGCATTCTCACATGCAGCCCTTAATTATAATTTTAGGAGAATGTCTAGAGTTCGGTGCATGTCCTAAAGCAGGATAAGATTCCAGAATTGTGAGACCTCATTGCACGATAAAAATCTGATACAATTTTTGAATTTTGAATAAAGCACCAACACTAACTACAAAACTAAAAGTCTCTCCCAATGATTTAGAACACTGCTTAAGTTATGCATCATAACTATACTTCAGGGTTTTCCTGTTCGTGACATAATTCTGGGGATTAATGAATGAACAGCACTGTGTGACTGGTTCTTTTTGTGACATGAGAATAGAGACTTTCCAAAGTACAATCTCTATATGTGTCTTTTGTCCTCAGTATCAGGCCGTCCTCCTCCTGCGGCCCATTCCGTGGACTCCAAACAATGTTCCAGGCGGGGAAACGCTGGGTGGAAGAACTGGAAAAAGATAATCCCAATTTGTCCGTGCTGGCCAGGGCTCACTCTTACTTGGTGGAAAACCCTCTCTTCCTGTTTGTGGGGGCAGGAATCTTTCTGTGAGCGCACACACACAGACACACAGACACACACACACAAAGCTGCAGTAGCTCTAGTGTGTTTTATTCATTATCAAACTGTATTATGCACTGCATTATCATTAAGATCAGTGTTGGTTGTCCCGCTCTAATCAACTCTATCCTTTGTGTCCGTCAGGATCATCATCTACTTCCACAGTCAGGTGGTGGGGGGTCAAAGGAAGATCATCAGTTTACTACAGGAGCAGATAGAGAATGTAAGACAAGTCAAGTCAGATTTATTTCTGTAGCATGTTAAAAACAACAGGAGCTGAGCCAGAGTGGTTTACAATCACAAGGAAGAAATAAATGATACAAGTGTGGATTAAAAGAAAGAGAAAAACAGAGACAGATATGATAAAAAAAAATAGAGACATCAGCAGAATCAAGCTGAATTAAAAGCAAGATTAAAGAAGTAGGTTTTGCAATTTCAATAGTATTAAATATATTGTGAATATCTTTTTAAATGTAACAAATTTAGAATTAGCAAGTTGCACATGATCTATTGATTGAAAGGAGTTTTTGAGAGGACGATCTAAGTGACCTGGCGGCAAAGTTTGACATCAGGAGATCAGTGATATGATTAGAGGCAAGACCACTAAGAGCTTTGTAGACAAATAGTAGTATTTTCAAACCATTGTAAGACAGGACCTACATAATTTAGAACAGACTGAAGTGAAAAGTGTTTTCCTGTTTTTGACATGTCTGATTTTTGTCTTCATTCTCTCTGTTCAGGAGGGAGAGGATAAAAAGTTCCTCATCACTCGCCTCCAGTCCATCCATGAGCAGAGACGAATGCCCACTCAAAGACTCTCAAGTCAGGTGAGTCTGTGATGCTCTTTTGCTCGTCTTAGCTTTAGCGTCTTGTTCGTTCCTCTTGTCTGAAGCTACGTTGCACATCTGTAAACTCAACTTTTACTTACATGCAGTTTTTCTTTCTTTTCCAGGACTCTTCATGTTGAGACAGCTGCGTCTGGTAAAATCTTACACCCTTGGGAATATAACTGGAATATTATCAGAAAGGAGCCAAAATCAGATATATTATATGTTTGGTGGTTTTTAAATATTTTTAAAAATATTTTTACTGGCTGCAGTATTTTAGCGGAGGAACAAACAAATCGAAAGCAATAAAGCTGTCTGCTTCGTAAGCAGACCATTCGTAAGGACATTAGCTGTGCATGACTATCGACAGATAGTTAGACTACTAAAGAGGAACTGAGAACAGACAGAATCAGAGGTAGCACATTAGAGGAAGAAAAAACCTGTGTTTGCAGTTGTTTTTTTGTTTTTTAAGTTTTAAAACTCAAACTAAGCTGCTGTATAGTTATGAAAATCTTTAAACTGATATCGTCCGTTTAAAAAGATTTGAATCATCTCTTGTAGAAGCACTTTTATACTGACTGTGAACATTTTTTATCCCTTCGATTTTTTATAAATAACATTTTGTCAGTGTCCATGTTGTAGTTGAGCTTGTTGTTGTGGGTGTGAGAATACAAACTGTAAATGTTTTTTTATTTTGTGTATGGATTCGTTTTTCTAGGGTGATAACTGCAACTGTATAGTCTTAACTTTTCAAATTAAATTATCTTTTATGAAATTGGTGTGTATTTGCATTTTTAGTACACATGTAAAGTGTGGACACTGCGACAGCAAAGGAAATGATTAGCTACGAACTCGACAGGCTGTATGAACATGATATGTACTGTTAGCATACAGGATTTCTTTTTTTTTTTTTTTTACAAACATGCAAATAAAAAAATGTACATTACACCAAATGTATGTTACATAAAATATATTTTCAGTTGAAAAATAAATACACAAGCGCCTTGAAGTAGCCTGAAGAAGAATAATACCTCTTTGTACCTTTTATTTGTAAATATTACCCATTAAATTATTTTTTCAAAATGAGAAAAAGCAGCATATTTGGTGGAGGGTAGAAACAGCAGCACCACAGATGGATTTCTGATGGTGATTTTTAGAGATGACAGAAGAAAGCACCCAATCCTCACAACACAAACTGAGAGGTGTTTTCAGTCCGGTGCCTCCCCAACGAAAATCATCAGACTATTTCAGATTATTACCATGGGCTTCATCTGCATATACACATCATGATTTTACATTACACACGCACACACACACACACACTGTGCCCAGGTTTCATTGTATCTGGTTACACCTCACAATAATGGCATATCTATGTGTTTAAAACTCATGAGGCACTTGAGAGTTTTTGAGGTGCTCAGTTTTTCAAATGCTGAGTCAATTTAATTTGTAGTTTGGAAGAACTGACAGTTTTCTCATCAGAGTTTTGCTTGTGTCTTCCATTTATGTTCAGTCCTTTTCCTCGTGTGGCTTTGCTCAGTTCCCATTGTTTAGAATTCCCAGCAGCCTCCTGGGGTCCATGCCCTGCTGCTGAGCCATCTTCTGCACATCGAAGCCCATGTGCTTCAGGAACTGGATCACGCTCATCTCCTGCCCAGTCAGCTGGTCCCGGATGGTCGGGCAGGTCGGGTTACAGTGAGGCCACGGGCAGCTGTCGATCAGATGCTGGGGGCAACCCCTCAGGGGCGGGGTCTTGTGCCTGTGGTGGCTATGGTTGCCATGGCTACTGTTCATGTGGAGGTTGTCCTGGAGGCTGCGGTCCCAGCAGTGGAGGGCACGGGGCAGGGAGGTGCCCTTTACCTGAATGTCCATCCAGTAACTGGTGGGGGGGGGCACAGTCGCAGAGGGTCAATGATCGATGAGACAGAAACAGGAGATACTGATGTTTGACACTTTCAAAATGCTGTAGAAATAATCCACATTATCACTGTATGAATGTTTTTACACTTATTTCCATGACACTTGGTAGAAGGATGCAGGATGGGTCAGGGAAGAACCAGGATGCAGGAAACGTTTTTATCAACATTTTCAGTTTTCCACGGAAATAAATATTTAGACATTTAAGGACTGTTTGGTCTTGGAGGCAGAATGTACTCTACTCAGTGACTTCTGGCTGCTTGATTGTGCCAAACCTGGACTTAACCATCTGTTATTTTATCTATAGATTGTGTTTCATTTCAATTTTATTAAAAGACTCTTCACTCCATTCATTAATCTGACCTGCTCTGTGAATAGAATCAATAGCAGACTGTTATTATAGTTTTATTCACTCACCTTCTGGTAATGAGCTCATGAGACAAGCAGGCCGGAGCGAACATCGCCCTGCCAATCAAAACGCAGAACCACACATTCAACAAAAGCACCTTTATTGAATGTTCTCTTGTGTGTGCGTATGTGTGTGTTTGTGTATCTGAGTGTGTTTGTGTGTCAGTCTTACGGCACTTCCCGCAGCGTGCTCCTCAGCTCCTGCCCCAGGGTCTCTATGTACCTCCACTGGCCCTCGTGGACGGGTTGTCCCGTCAGGTGGATGTTGTCGACAGTCAGCTGGGCCTCATCAAACAGCCACTGCACCACGAACACTGGGCCTGGACAGGAGAGTGGACGACTCTGCGGGTCAGACTTTCTATAACTCACCAGCTTTCGTCTTTAATGTCTGTGTCGGCCTTATGGAGAAGTTCAGGGTGATTTCTCACTCACTTTTTAACGAGGGGTAAACTTTATATCCAAAGAAACAGTTCCACTCCTCTCCAACATGGGCCTGTCTGCAGCTTTCAGGCACCAGTCCGCCCCAGTACCTGCACAAGCACAAAGTGTCACTACATGCATCCTCACCTCCTCAGTCCATCCGTCAGTCTGTCCATCCGTCACGTCCTCTTACCTGACACCTCTCTTTATGGCCTCAGTGGGGGCACAGCTGATGGTGTCCAGGCATTCTGTGAATTTGTACTGTTTGTTGTCCAGGAACCATCCGGAGTCAGCCAGGCCCCTCACCTGCACCTCTGTGTAGCCCTGTGACTGCAGCTGCTCAGCAACATGGTCCACGTTCAGCAGGACCCCTGTGCCACCCGCACTAGTGACAGGAGGAGTGTGGTTAGACTGAGGTTGGAGAGGTGCACCTGAGCAGTTATCTTTGGTAACAACACACACAGTAGTACATTCAGGACTGACCTGCTTCCTGCCAGAAGGAGAACCTTGGCGTTGTCCAGACCTTTTGTCAGCAGCTCGTTCACCACCTCCTTTATGATCAGTGACCCCATGAACGCATAGTCACCTGTCAGGGAAAATTATGGATTTATCAGAATATAATCAAAAACCAGTAATTAGTAATATAACATATGATTTCTCACTCAGCTGAAAACTTAAAAGTGAGATGACACAACTAAGAGGAATTAAATCTGACAACCCAAAATAAAAATGTTTTCATAATGGATATAAATATAGATTCATCCAAATGGGATCTGACTGAAAAAATACAAAATAAATAAAAATAATTCAACTACACATTTTAAATGTATTTTTTTTATATTTTTCTTGATTTAATGGAGAATGTAAGGCAGATGCAATAATGTGGGCTGGTACCTGCATAATATGTGTGTGTTATGTTATTCGTTAACTTTTTGAAGTATCCAAAAAAACACTTCATATGATATTTCAGTAAGAAATTATAGAGGAAGTTGGTTCTGATGAATTAGATTTGTTTTATCTCCAACTCTTCTATGTATTCGCCCTTTTTCTCTTCCTTTAAATTTCCAAGACATTTATGATTATTTCAATAGATCTCTACGACCAGAGCCAGACGAGCTCCCACACTGAGTCACGTGTTATCTCATTTACTGTGTCTTACTGTGATGTGTCTTTGGGGTGGCTCCGCTCCACACGTCACTGGAGCAGTATGGGATGAACCTGCAGGAGAGAGACAGCAACACAGACAACGTGGAATCAGATATAAAGTCAAATATAAAGTGTACAAATACAGCTGTGTGACAGTAGACATATAAATGTGTTAGAAGATAAAAAGGATAGGACTGTGTATCTTTCGTTTTCTGACAATAATAAGTTGCTGCTGCAACAAAACTACTTTTTTTGTGTATGGAAGGATGATGAATAACAAATCAACACCAGTAGAGCTACTATTATTAATTTTAAACATAAACCATTAACAGTTCAAATTTAGTAAAAGCAAAGAAATGGTAGCTTTACTACTCGCTCTGTAGAGTGCAAAATTATTCATGCATTAACCTTTTAAAGTTTTTAAATGCAATATTCCCTCTGTCCAATAATAAATACGTTACTACTCTTCTATTTATTCATTACATATCTTTAGCTATAAAGCTCTGTAGTGTAACACAGCAATCACAATGTTCACATGAGAATCACAAATTGGAAATAGTCGTATAAAGCACTAGTATGTGAAAAAATATAAACATAAACACTTAACATTAATATCAGCCAATAATATGACAGACATGTGATACTATCCCATGTATGTGCACCCTACACTCCTATCACTACAGTAAGTGGAGAAGACTTGAATGTAGTTGAGAAAACTTAGCAGAACACAGGAGAGTATTAACTCTAAACTGAAGAGGAGATGAAAGCTCTTACACCATGTTGGCGTTCCACCAGTGTGGGTTTTCTTCTGGCTGAGGAGACAGAATTCCTGTTCCTGTGGAATACACACACGAGATCTAACATTACATTTCACTTTCTGCACAAATGTCCTCATCACAGAGTCAAAAACCCAAAGTAAAAGTAAGAAGGGGTTAAATGCTGAAGGCTACTTGTTAAAATTCACAGACCTTGAAGTGTGTGTATCAGTGTATGTGTATGTGCGTGTGTGTGTGTGTTTCCCTGTGGTAAACAAGTCATTAAGTTTCTCTGCTCTGGTCAGCAATTACATGCAGCCATTGAAGAGCTGTGCGGCTGCTGCCCTGGCCACCAGTGTAAAGTGTACACAGAGAGGGAGCTGAAGGCCAAGAGTCATAAAAAAACAAGGGGTTCCCTGATGGACGGAGGGAAAAGAACCAGAGAGTCTGACTTTAAAAGATTAACGCAAACTCAGCTTAAAAGGAAACATAAATAGGTCTATGAATCTCCTTCATTCAGGGGAAGTTTCTTTTTTCCAGAGGAAGGCAAAATGCCTGCGGGGGCTGTGAGGAGATTTTTCAAAAGCTGCACAAATGTGTAACACTTTCATGTGCGTTTCTGCATATGACACAGAGCGCCGCGATTGTGCAAGAAATAATAATAATAATATTATAATAATACGTTTTTGCTTTGTTACCTGTCCTGGTTTGTGGCCACTCGGTGGAGCTCATCAATCTCCTCATGGTCTCATACCTGCTGACACAGGTCTGCCTGTTGAAACAGTACCATCCACCTGAACAACAAACACACACACACACACACACACAGGAGCTTGTTAACAGGTTACGCACAGTTGTCTGTCACTGTGTTGAGCACTGTGTGTTGTTCAGTATCGGCTTTATTTCTCACCCTCTAAAAACAGCAGCCACCTCTTGCTTCCTTTCGACTCCTTGATGTAGTACCTGCATGAGAACACCACAACAAGTCACTGAGTGTGTTTGTGTGTGCGTGTGTGTGTGTGTCGTGCATCACACAGATATATACATAACAAGCACATCAGAAGTGCTGCGATTGGGATGCTACGTTTGATGCTGACAGAAAGATTCGGGCTCTGATCACATTACTAAACACCTCTGAGCTCTAATTGCTTATTAAAAAACACGAGAAGAGATAAGTTAGAATGCTGTTGGCAGAACACACAGTTGAACACTCACAGCAATGACAGCTTGGGTGAGATAGTAGATCTTCTCATTCACACTATCACAATGGTTCATTTCATTTGTGATTTCAGTGTATGATAGTTAAAACATAATTGGGAATCAAGTGTTTGATTCAAAAAGTAATACTAGTCTATTTATTGCTGGTGAAGAAGAATACTGAGGAGCAAGTGATGCAGATGTTTAAGATCATACTAGACAACCAAAAAACAAACTACTCATTGAATATGGGCACTCAGACAATAGGCACATTTGGGACTCTACACCCCAATAATACTCCTCTCGCATGATATAATAAAACTGGGTTCTTGCAGTGATGGGCCAGTTTATTTTGAAGTAGTTCCCTCCTTGTTGTATTGTAGCTGCTGGGAATAACAGCAGAAATCAGTCAAAGCTACACTGACTTGAATAATGAGCGGATGTCTGAAGAGAGATGTTTGCGTTACGCATTAGTCTTTGCGCTT